TCGTACCTTTTGAGCCTAGGAGTTTTTCCACGTAAAATACTCTTGCGTTCTTTATTTTATGTACTTTTAATTCCGCAAAAAGTAGTAGTAAGTACACCTAGAAGAACCAGGTTCTTCTAGAGCGAAAATTGGGTACCACACAAATCACCCCACCTTCTTGTGTGGTATTGACGTATATAACATCAGCTTCTAATTCCTTTTACAGTTGTGGGAGGGGGTAATCCTGCTATAAAATTAATTTTAGCCTTATCAACTTCTATCCCTTTAGCACTGATTTTATGTCCTAAAACAATTCCCTCAGTAACCATAAAATGACATTTTTCCCAATTAAGAATTAAGTTTGTCTCTTCACATCTCTTAAAAACTAAGGTTAAGTGGTGAAGACAATCCTCAAAACCTTTGCCGAAGAGTGTAAAATCATCCATGAAAATTTCAAGAAATTTTTCAGTCATGTCAGAAAAAATTGCTGACATGCAACGCTGAAATGTAGCAGGGGCGTTGCACAAATCAAATGGCATTCTCCTATAGGCATATGTTCAATGAGGACATGTGAAAGTTGTCTTATCTTGATCTTCTGGTGCGATTGGTATTTGGTTATACCCTGAATAGCCATCAAGAAAACAATAAAAACCATATCTTGCAATTCTTTCCAACATTTGATCAATAAATGGTAAAGGAAAGTGATCTTTTCTAGTGGCATCATTGAGACGTCGATAATCTATACAAACTCTCCATCCTGTGACGGTCCTGGTAGGTATTAGTTCATTGTTTTTATTTTTTATCACTATCATACCTCCCTTTTTTGGTACTGCCTGAACAGGACTTACCCAAGGGCTGTCTGAAATAGGATAAATAATACCTGCCGCCAAAAGCTTTACAATCTCCTTTTTACCACTTCTTGCATTGCTGGGTTTAATCTCCTTTGGGGTTAGACTATCAGTTTGTAGCTATCCTCCATGAGGATTATGTGCATACAAATTGCTGGATTAATCCCTTTGATATCTTCTACAGTCCATCCCAAGGCTCCTTTGTGTGCTTTCAATACTTCAATCAATCTTTCTTCATGTTCTGTGGTTGAAGATGAAATAACTACAGGGAATAACTCATGCTCAAGATAGACATATTTGAAATGAGAAGGGAGAGTTTTGAGTTCAATTTTTGGTTGAACTTCTTCTAATTGCATGCCTCCTTCCTCATAATCGTTTTCCAGTAATTTTGCATCATTTCTGAAAGTCGGATCTTCATCCTGTGTGGTGCCAGATTTGGCCAAACATCTTTCCATTGAGTCAGAAATTAATTGGTCATTTTTGAATTCATCTATAAGATTATTAATCATGTCAATTGAAAATCATGAAGATGATGTATCATCTTCTGAGAATCTTAGTATCTTTTGCATATAAAAAATAACTCTTTCTTCATCAGCTCTTAAAATTAGTTGTCCTTGATGGACATCTATGATTGCCCTGCCTGTTGCAAGAAATGATCTACCCAAAATAATTGGTTCATCAGAACACTCCTTCATTTCAAGTACTATGAGATCTACAGAAAAAACAAATTTATCTACTCTTACAAGCACATTTTCAATTATTCCCTTTGGTCTCTTAGTACTTTGATCAGTAAATTGAAGTGAAACACCCGTGTCTTTCATTTCACCAAGATCTAATTTTTAAAAAAATGGAAAATGGCATCAAATTTATTGAAGCTCCAGAATCACAAAGTGCTTTTTCAATGTATACTCCTCCCAGAGTATATGGAATGGTGAAACTACCTGGGTCACCGAGTTTTTGTGGTAGCTTATTTTGAAGTATAGCACTGCATTTTTCAGTAAGCATTACCACAGAAACTTCTTCCAGTTTCCTTTTGCTTGATAAAATTTCTTTCAAAAATTTGGCATATGAAGACATTTGCAATAAAGCATCATTAAAAGGAATGTTAATGTGAATTTGTTTTAAAATCTCCAAAAACTTCGCAAATTGATTATCAAGCTTTTCTCTTTTCATCTTTTGTGGGAAAGGAATTGTAACAGGGAAAGAAGTAAAATTTTTAGTATTTTTTTTCTTCTTTTTTCTTGGCTTCTTTCTCTTCTGATGGTTGAGAGGGTGTCTCAACATTTTCACCCTTGTCTACCTGTTGTTCTGATTGATTCTTTTCTTGTCTGTTTGCATAGGGTTCATCAAGAGTCGTACCTGACCGTAAAGCAATGGCCTTAAGGTGTTCTTTTGGATTTTTTTCTGTATTGCTCGATAAAGGACCTTGAATCTTTTCAGACACAAGAGTTGCCAATTGGCTTAACTGAATTTCAAGATTTTTTAGAGCTAAATTTTGACTTTCCATTTTTTCATCAGTAACCTTAATGTACTTGTACAAAAGGTCATCAAGACTTGGATGGCCTTGTTGAGGCCTTTGCTGATATGGAGTTGCTTACTGATAAGGCCTGAAATTTTGTTGTCCACGATTTTGATTTTGATATCCGGGTGGACTTTGTACCTGTTGCTTTTGGTAGTTTTGAGAATTTTCAGCACCATTTGCATTGCTCCATTGAAATCCTGGATATTTTTGTGCTAATGGTCTTCCAAAAGGATACGGCTTGTATCCGATGACATTGACCTGTTCATCATTTTGATTGGTTGCTTGACATTCGTGGTTTAGATGGTTTCCTCCACATAAATCGCAAGCCTCAGACTGGCTTGGTTGTTGTGTATTTACCTGAAAAGATTCAATTTTTTTGCCAAACAAACAATCTGTTGTCTTAGTGTATTTAACGCATCCACCTGATTTACTGTAGCAGCTTTCTTAATGATTACACGCTCAGATGGTCACTATATGGCATTTTCAGAAATTTCATTAAGCAATTGCAATGCTTCTTCTGTGGTTTTTCTCATTATGGAACCTCCTGCAGCTGAATCTATTACATTTCTAGAAGAAGGTTTTAACCCATGATAAAAAATATAAAACTGCATATGTTCAGGAAAGTCATGGTGTGGACATTTCCTTAACATTGCTTTCAATCTTTTCCAAGCTTGATAAACTGACTCAGTGTCAGTCTGCAAGAAGTTAGATATATCCTGTCTTAACTTTGTTGTTTTAGCAAGGGAAAAATATTTAAAATTTTCTGAGTCATTTGGTCCCATGTGGTAATAGACCCTTGCGGCAAACTTCGTAACCAAGTTTTGGCCTTTCCTTTTAAAGAAAAAGGAAATAGCCTTAACTTAATTGCTTTAGGAGGTACTCCATTATACTTAGCAGTTTCAACCAATTCTAAAAAGTCAATTAAATGACTATGTGGATCTTCACTTAGATACACTAGTGAAAATGCAAGATTGTTGAATTGTTTGAATCAAGCTTGTCCTGATTTCAAAGTTAGTGGCTACGACTGGAGGTTTCCTGACACTAGATTCACAGTTAAAGCGATCAGGTCTAGCATAATCCCTTAGGATTCTGTTTACTGGTCTTGGCGCCACTTCATCAAACTTCTCCTCTACATGAGCTAGTGGTGGAATTTGTAGCGGATTGTAATCATCTTCTAATTGGTGCTCCATTCTGTTATAAGTTATATTTTGAGACGATATTTGTCCTTTCTTGCACAATCGCAAAGTTTTTTCAATTTCAGGATCATAGTTGGCCAAGTCTTTTGTAGAAGAGCGGGTCATAAACTATTTGAAATTAAAGTAAAATAAAGACAGTTCCTAAAATAGTAGTAGATAATTTTAAAAATAAAAAAAATAGTACGGTAATATAATAGTTAACTAAAACAGTAAGTTATAACTAACCATCAAAAGAAATAATATAATACTAATTATATTATATGTATAAAAAACTTTCAATAATAAATAAAGTATGCTAAAGGATTGAAATATATCAATTAATAAAGTTGAATAAAATATTATTTTATAAAAAATATAGTAAAAGTAATAGTTATAATAATAGTAATATAAAATAATACAAAGGATACTTTTAGCACTAGAATAGTAAAAACAAGTACGTACAATTATATTAGTAATAAAAATAATAAAACATACTCAAAAAATGACAAATACAAAAATAGTGAGATTGTGAACCACAAAACTAATATATTATATTATTATATAGATGTTAGTACTAACAATAATAATATAATAATAAAATATAAAATAAAGTAGGTTGAAGTACTAAATATGAGGGATTTTTGTTTTTTTATATATTTGTTTTATAATATTATATAAAATTGCTCCTAATAACAGTGACAATTATGATAGTAGTATGTAGGAGATAACATTTTGAAGGAAAAATTAACAATAATAATAAATTCTCAAATTAGTAATAAAACATTTAATCTGAAGTAGATGTGTGCCAATCCCGGGCAACGACGCCAAAAATTTGACGAAGCTTGTGTGTATAGGATTTTCTGCTCGTACTCTATCAAATTCTAGTATAGTTTATAATATCGACCCACAGAGATTGGACAATCTAAGCTACAAACTTGTAATATTTTGACTACTATTTGAGAGAATCAAATTGATGAAATGTGTGTTTGGAATTATAAATTAAGACAAATTTCTTTCGAAAAGTTTATATTTAAAAAGAGTTGGGAATCGTTGAATTCACTTGATATATCATTACAATAAAATCTCAGGTTTTACGTATTTCTCTAAAGAATAATTGCTTATTGCTAACACAATTATATTCTTACACTAAGAAATAAATAAATAATTAACACTCCAGAAATAAATAAATAATTAACACTCCATGAGGTTATGTCAATTAATTAATTTAAAACTAGTGACGATTAAATTGAAATATCTTGCCTGAATTGTGCTCAAGCGTAGTAAAAACTTCGTGAGAATATTTTTACGAGAAAATCAATAATCTTGCCTTCAACAATTCCTCCGTGAGAATTAAAATTGAGGAAAGCAAGAATACAGACTTGAAATAATAATCTTACTGAAAATTACTTTCACTCTAATATTCTGTGCTCAAGTGTAGTATAAACTTCATGAGAATGTTTTCACTAGAAAATCAATAATCTTGCCTTCAACAATTCATCCGTGAGAATTAAAACTGAGGAAAGCAAGATTACAGACTTGGAATAATAATCTTACCAAAAATTACTTTCACTCTAATATTCTACTCATCAGTTATTATATATTAATTTTGCTCTGTGAGAATTATAAAATTAATATAAGAATAACTTAGATATAAAATATGTAGATGTGATAATAATGATTAAAATCATCATTCCAGCACAGTATGAAATGTAAATAGAGTTTCAGGACAAGAATGTATTAAAACTGAGATAGTATTATAATTATATCAAGCTTCATCAACTATCCCAATAAAAAGAAATTACTCCATTATGAAGTAAGAAAATCTAAAAAAAAATACTTTCAAAAAACTAAGAATATTTTTACTACAAAGAGAGACTAGAGAAAGAGACCGAGATTACTCTTCTCTTTCTCTTTAGAAAAAACTAGATAGGAAATTGGATACAAAGTAGGATGCTTTTCTTTTATAAATATATGGCTATTTATAGGAAAATTCCTACAAGGCCTTGGTGAGAAATTGTAATATAATATTAATATATCATATGGCCTAGATGAGAAATTGATATGGCAATTTGTCTTGAAATTTTGGTGAGAATTTGCCATAACTTTTGTATCTCTTGACTTTGTGTAGTCTTAGATGAAATTGTCACGGATGCATCATTCTTCCTTGAGCTGTAGGTTCTTTCTTTTTCTCTTTTTCCATGTATTCTTTTTTCTGCGAGAATTGTTAGAAAAGTGCGAGAATAGGATATAAATTGGTCATGTTTTATATCTAAAATATTATATTTTTATATTAAATATATAAATAATTTATATCCATCAATACGTTTCCCAAAGGCATTGATTGCGCCGTCGGTTACGTTGCTACCTTTCTATAAATGGGAGGTTACTTGAACCAAAATTCCACCCAGTACTTCTTCAACAACCTTTATCCCTTTTCTTCTCTTGATCCTCATCCAAACTCTAATTTCCATGGTTCAAGCCTGTGACCGTAAGGTCACATGGTAGCGATTTTGCCAGTTATGCCATGGATCTTTTTCAGAGATTTTTCCCACTGAGTGGGATCGTACTGGTTTTTTGTAATTGTTGTTGTTGTTGGCCCGAAATAATGAGACAGGGGCTTAAAATTATTCCCGTATCAGAGGATATGTGGACCGTGAACCGCTGCTCATCTCTCTTAACTTCAACCTGGTGTGACACCTCATTCTTTTTGCTTTCCATGGAGTGAGGTGGCATTATCTACTAACTTTGCATCCCACACCAGGGCAATGTCTCAAGAAGTGGCTTCACAATATTAGTGCTGACGAGACCCGTACTCGCCAAATTTTTCACCAAGCCACAATTTTCCCTGCTTGTTAAAAGCTTTTGCTCTTTGATAGGCTATAGCTGTCTTGGAGGAGTCTCTCGAAGATATTGCTCTGAAGATCGAAATGGGGTACTCGAGGGAATGGTTTCCGCAGACGTCGCGTCCGAAGATGTACCCTCGAAAGTAGTTTAGGCTCTTCAACTATTGTTTTTTGCTTCTTTGTTTCTGTGTAAGGACCCCTCGTGGGCTTTTGTAATCGTTGCTTATTAATACAATAGTTTCTTCAATTTGCTTTTGTCTTGTGCTGGATTCCCTTTTGCATGTGTTTGCGAAAAAATCCAACCGTGTGACTTTATCGATCAGTCTGAACACTAGACTCGGACACAGGAATTCCTTTGGTTTTTGATTGGTTAATATGATGTTCCCTGAAACACTTTGCCATTCCTCGGACTATGTCTGGGTTTATCTGATACAAACTTAGACCGCCGGGACATCCGAGTTTGAATTGAATGAGAGCGGGGCCTCGAATTTCTTCAAAATAAAGCTTAGCCCCTTATAGGCACAGTTGATAGTCCTCAAGAGAAAGTTCGCTTGATCATCTGGAAATAAAGATAGCCCTTAGGCTTTTGCAAATAGTCCCTGAGCGAGGATACACTCGAACTCGGGTGGCCCT